CCACCCCCGTGTGTCATACTGACCCACTTGCACACAGCCAAAAGGCAAAGAGGCAAAGAAAAGAGGAAGGGGACAGCCAAATACAACAAAACAGGGAGAGACAAACATAAACCAATCCTAGATGACAAGTCCCACATGCAAGCACCGCCCCCACCATCAGGGCCAAACAACGGGACAAGACCAACCAGGATTCAAACCACCCTTGCCTGCAAACAAACAATCCCAGATAACATACCTTTCGTGCGCGCCAGCTCCAAGAATCCTTTGCGATTGATTTTATTRTTGTTGTTGCAAAAATTGGTACCGATTCAAACTGTCAAGTCACTGCTTCGCTGGTCTAAACTAAATTACTGGGACAGCATCGACAACAAGAAAAAACATAAGGGACAATCCTAGATGTCGATTCCCACAAAAAAGCACCGCCCCCCGCACAGGCCGAACAACGGGAAACAACCACCTAGAATGCCAAAAAAAAAAAAAAAGAAACCCGGCTGACAAGTCCCACGTGAAATCACCGCCACGGGGCTCTAACCGTAAGCCGGATAACGGAACTAAACCAACCGGGGTGCAGACAAGGGTGCCAAAATCACCACGAGAACAAATTCTACCAAAAAAAGCTCCGGTCCACAGTGTGACAACCAAAAAAAGAGGAGAAGACAATCCCGGATGACGATTCCCACATACGAGCACCGCCCCGCGCTCAAAGGGCCGAACAATGGGAAACAACCAGGATGCCAAAAACCCGAATGACTGGTCCCACGTGAAAGCACCGCCACGCCCATGAGATAGCCCAAACAACGGGACCAGAACAACCGGGATACAGACAAGATCAGCAAAACAAAATCTACCACAACCATATCCATAGTCAAAAAACGGACCTTACAGTAGGCCTGCAAAACGGAATACCCCAGCAACAGGAAAAAAAGTAAAGGAAAAGAAGCAAAGAAGGGGGAATGGCAAGAACAAATGTAGAATTTTTTTTCTCTACCATAACAAAAGCATAGCCTGCTAGTACAGGCCCGACGCTCGCCGCATCATCTGCAAAAGCAGAGAGCTAGCAACGTCGGAGTATATATTGTCACAAAATATCAGAGCACAAATGCGGAAAAAAAGGAAAAAAAGAAGAAAAGAAAATTGAATTCAATTTTTAATCTTCTTCCTTATAGCTCCCCCTGTTCAGAACCTCTTGCGTACAAGGCCGCCCACGTGGATGTAGGGGTGGATGTTTTGCTGGCTTGTGATGGGGTGTGAACCGACAGTCTGCAGAGTTTTCCAATCTGGTGTGGGTGAGTGATAGTCTACTTTGATTTTGGTTAAGGTAGATTATCATTTACAGTGTAATCAGTGAGGGGATTCTGCAGACTGTTGAGGGTTCAGCCTCCTGATGAGTCGGTGAAACTCCGACGAAAGAGTTTGTCACAGCTCCTCGTTTGTTGTCCTCTTCTCTCTCTCTGCCTACGGTTTTACCGGGCAGTTCTGTTTGTGACGATATATATAATATATAGATATATTTGTGAATATATAGATATATATCGTCAAACAGGGCTATTTTTTTTCTCAAATTATTTGTGTTATTTTTTTATTCATTTTTGGCCCGGCCGGGCAAGTGGTCCCAGGCCACTCTGGTAACACAGTTGAGGACTAGAATCAAGGCAGCAGGGAAGGGAGACTAAAAATATTAAACAATTGAAAGCATTTAAGCAAATTTAAGCATGCAAGTGTCCTCTGCTGCAGAGAAGTGGAATTAAAATCCTGGAACAGAAGCACTAGAAAGTTAGAAGCTACGTAGTTTCTAACTTTCTTGTGGTTCCGCTGAATAACCCGCAAATGCGCAGAAGGAAAGAAAAAACTCTGATGATGAAAAAAAAGAAAAAAAGGAACAAAGGTCACCGTGATGGGTGAGCATACATGCTGCTGCATTTCTGAGTCTGTGTTTAATGATGGGAAAAACTAGGAAGATTCTCACGCCCGGCCGGTCCTGCCCGGCCGGGCACCCGGGCGTGACGCCCGGGGT